GCAACCGAATTGGTTCGAGTTCAGAAAGGAGTGACGTCTCATAAGCACGTCTATTGTATTGGCCACATGCAGTGGTGCCAGAATGATAATTTCTGTCATAACAAGGACTGCGCTTTTTATATCATTTTATTTATGTCTATTGAGTCTTCATTACCCGGGATAATTTCCTTTTTACCCCATTTGGGGTAATTGACCCCGGATCGCCTACCTCTGCTCTAGTCGCCTAGGATGCCATTTAAGCATTCGAGCAAAGATTCGAGAAGTTCATCGATTTATGTTTCGAATGGCAAGGTATCATGTTCATGAAGCTTCATGAAGCTTACATCGTTGTTAAGAATCATGTGCGAGATGGCACTGAGATTTCACGTTTCTTATATTCTATCGATTGAGACTGGCATAGTCTGTTAGTGCCGTTTGGACGTATATTTTGAAAATGCATTTACGGAGAATCTGCATGAAAACTCCGTGAAAAAAATGTTGCCTCTGAGACGATGCTTTATGCTTCCAAAGGCCTTTCTTGTTAAAACGTTATTTTTCTGGCCGAAATAGCATAGCTTTTTTCATTTTCCCTCGCAGAAGTCGATGACACAGTACATGTGGTAAACATCATGGAAAATCATTTGTTTACTTTACAGCGAAGCGACGGCCAACTTTGTCAAATTTGTAAAGGTTAGGAATCAAGCGACAAAGATGTAAAAAATTTTTACATTTTTTAAAAATATTTTGTGCGAAATTAAACAGCAAACCAAGCGAAGAATTTGTGACAGATCGATGTTTCCAAACCAGCACTAGATTTTATTGCACACAAAAATGCTGCAGCCGAATGAACAAGAAGCATGGATCTACATAACAAGAATAATGGTGTTGTCAGATATGCCATAATCGTGCTTCTACAGTTCGTTGCCAAGTTCAGTTTATTACCAGTAAACTAACCAGTAAGCAATGTTGAAGAACAGAAAGCAGACAGGTACCAGAATCCTAGAAAATACGTCAATTCTTTCAGCTCTACTGGTTCCAGTTCCTGGCTTAAAAATGTTAATTTTCGTTCGCTTTCTCCGCTCTGAAAAACGATCAAGAAACGTTTCCATGGATTCGGCACCAACAGCTTCTCGCGATCTGCTTATATAGTCCATGCTGTTCAATCTTCTTCGTCTCAGCATCGACTGAATGGTAGAAATATGTCAATTATCATGAAACAATAATAATTTTTTTCTGAATCGTTGTACTCGCTTGACTGTCATTTTTCAACATATATTGATATTAACAACAGCAATCATGCTTTAAACCACATTCGCATTTGAGAAAAGAGTACTCTATTCGTATGCCTAAATTAATCAATTCACTTTTTATTTCCCATGCTTTTGCTCCAAGGGAGTATTATGAAATTGTCGATTTGTGTTCTCTTTCATAATCTGAACTTGGATATAGTTAACTTTTTTAAATCTACATATTTGGAAAAAATTCTCGTTCGCTTTCCATGTTGTTATTTATATGCATCACGACAGCACGCAAGATTTGACACAAACTAGTTCCATATGTGCCACGTTGTTTAGTAAACTCTCAACCACGTGCAGCTTGCCGCTGCAAGATGCTAATGACGTCGAAACCGATGTACTTCGCAGAACTCCTGAATAGGCCTGATCCTTAGGCAAATGCCAAAATGGAAGAGAAATTTGATAAAGGTCTAGGTATTGACTGCTCACCATAATCGATCGAAAAAATACGAAAAGTGATACAACTATTAAGAAGTTTGTGGACATTCTGGAACTGGGAAGGGGAATCCTGAAGTGTAAAGTTAAAATCTTTTTTTATTGGATCTACCTGGATTTTGACCAGACCTGGCGAAAGTCGGTAGTTGCTGAAGATTGCAAGAATGACGTGATAATTGCGATCTTCAAGAGACGTATCTGCACAGACTATCGAAAACTCATCCTCCTGTTGGTAATTGAACAGGTGTTCGCGAGAACCGTTCTTAGGTGACTAATGAGGTCCATCATTCGTTTGCTGTGAATTGACCAAACTGGCTTCCGCAATGGGAACTCATATACGAACAACGTCTCTGCGCTGAAGCGAATCATTGAGCAGTGCTAGAGCTTCCAAGTACCCTGGCAGAAAACGCTTCCGGATTTCCGGACAGCGTTCGATTCAGTTCACCTCCAGAGAATGTGGCGTGTTATTCGTCACAACGGGATTTAACGATCTACATGATGGGCCTAAATGTGTTGTCCGACGGATCACTGCCGAACTGGTTCAAGACTGCCCGGAAGTTCGGTGAGGTGTTTACTCCTTTGTTATTTAACTTCATGGCGGACTGCCTTCCGCGGAAGTGCGTCATCCGAAATAACAACGAGGGGCTGCTGCCCGTTAGTCAGTGTCGCAACTTGAGATTGACGATGATGTTTCTAACGGACCTTGAGTATACCGATGAAGTTGTACTGTTGAGCTACTCTGCAAGTTTCTGGCCAACTGAATGAAATTGTGTGCAACACCGCCATGAGAGTAGGGCTATAAGTGAACGTCATAAAGACGAAGATTACGAGAGTGTCCCCTCCACGACTGTAAGTCCAAGCACACCATGGAATGGTATTACGATGGACGAAGTAGACTATTCGGGTACCTCAAAACATTATTCACTAATAACTGGGAAACTGATGCTGAAGTGATTCGATGAAATGAACTGACGGCATCCAATTTCGGCAAGCTGTATGACACAAGGAGGGATCGAACTACAAGAACGGACATGAAGATCATTATGACAGTAATCCGATGTCAAGTTAAAGGCGAACTGTTTCATAAGATATACCGAAACACCTGTTTAGGACGCTTAAAAGCGATGAAGATGAAAACGATGATCTATGAGTAAAAAAAAATGTTCATACTTCTTCGTGATAAGGGTCGGTCATGGCGATCGCCTCGCTTTCCCTATCTGTTCGTCGTTGTTCCCAGACAGGTGGAAGGCATGACTCGGCAGGTTTCGAGACTGTAGCGTTCTGCTTCTGTCGTTCTTCCTGTACTCCCATGAAATTGACGATGGCGTATTCGATCAAGGAAGCAAATATCAGCAACACGCAGCCGTCGATCCAGACATCGAATGCTTTGGCGTATGACACTGGCGGCAAGTTGGCGCTAAGTACTAGCAAGCTTCGTTAAGACTAAACGTGAGCAGACTTTGCGAGATGTTAAGGGAACTGTGAAACCTATTTTGTTTTGTTGAGGTATTCCATTATATAAGTGAAAACGGAATACCTTATCACTCTTATCATGCATCAGCTATATGCGTTAGTACTATCCTCAGAACCTTGGGGTCAAGCTTCGATTTGTTTCGCCTTCGGATCTTGGAGTTTGGGCTTTAACATGGTTTTGCTCAACCCGATTAGGAAACGCGGTCTTGTGTCCTATGCACTGCAGGCTCTTAAAAACCATGGAGCCGGGGCCTGCATAAATGGTCGCCTAACCGAGAAAAACAAGGAGACGGTGTAATAAAGTAGTTGATGTGAAGTAAGAAATGCATTTTTCTTTCTTCACACTCTGCATTTTCGCCGTTTCCATCCTGTATGTTCATTTTGATATTATCTTTTGGTAAGTCACAAACGCGAAGATGACGCATAAAATGTTCGGACCAAACTCGGTCCGTCTTTAGAATGTACTCTGAAGACGGATTAAGTTGGTCCGAAGCGTCAGATGTCTCTAATTAATGAACATTTTATGCATGGTCTTCCCGTTTGTGACTTACCAAAGGATTGTATCATCTCCCGCACAGAGAAATCATGTACGATTTTCAATATTATTTTATCATATATAGTTTTCAAATTCGATGAATATTAGGTGGCTTGTTCTTGAACGAATCGATGCTGATATATCACTGTTTCGATCTCGGTAGCCAGGAAAGTGGGTGGCTCTCCATGACTCCTTATTTGTAGCCAAAGCAGCGACCAGTTGAAGTTTTCTTAAGTACTGTTCCATCGGTATTATCATAATCTTCTGGGGTATGTTTTTCTCCTGCACCACTGAACATTCACGCGGAACAATAGTTTCACCAAGCATTTCGTAATATACATCATTTGTGGTTTCGCCTCTGTATTTCCTTCTGAGAGCCAGTATTGCCTTTTATTATTTTAGGATCATGGATGGATGTTTAGTGATAAAAAGTGATAAATAAATAAAGAATGACATAGAGACCTGGAGTAACTATGTCATGGGGGGTTACAAAAGTGGTTATTTATTAAAGAATACAAGTTACTAGAAACTGCCTTAGGATTCGACGGAAAAACCATTATCATACCATGGCTCTGTGTGATCATTGTCAACAGTGTGATGATGCTCAACGGTACTCTTGCTGCTGAAGCCCTCCAATCGATCCAGTAAGAAACCCATGATATGGTGACTAGCAGACTTGATGGTACGTAAAGCTGAAGGAGGAAGAAGGAAAATACTCTTTGGAACTGCAGCACAATACGCAAGCAGCTGTATTCGCCTAAATCGAATGTATATAAAATGAATTCATGAGTTCTCCTCGCGTAGTCAATAATGCGGCGACATACCTGTGTTAGTTTTGCTGGTGCAGCTGTCGTTCTTAAAGGATTTTATTACCATATTGGCTAAAACGGAAGTAGCCTCTTTGGCGACATCAATCGGAGAGTCGTTCCACACGTACACAATGTCGTCAGTCGTATAGGCGTCTTAAGTAGAAAAAATTGAATGCTGGCAAGAGCACGGATGGATGATATGCATATAGTTACAGCTGGCGAAATCAATAAAGCAGGTTTGCACATCCATGGGATACTTCACTAGGTCCATGACACAGGAGAAAATCATTGTTAACCTAAAAATCGATATTTGCAAATGCATTAGAAGTCATCAAATGGATGATAAGTGGTTTGGGATAGCCAGCCGCAGCCTTAAAGTTACACTGGTAAGCATAAGTCAAAGAAAACTGAATGACCATTTGCGTTAGTTGCCTTAAGTGAGACACAGTTTACACGCCGTCAGCTACTATCTTCTGGTGTACCGAAATATTGAGAGAAAAGCAGGAAACATTTCCATCGACAGGTTCACATCTACACACATTTTTTCTACCTCCAACGTCACAACTGCTTATGCCAGTTATTGCATGGAACATTTGCGAGCTTGATTGGTATAATGGACGAGGTGCAGCTTCTCGAAGGGGACTGTTGAAATCATGCACGTTTACGAGTACTAACTGACTGACGATTATTAGAAAAGCTAACTTAAAATGGAATTAGCTATCTGACAATGCTCGAATTAATCCTCACTCTCTAGTTTAAAAGATGTCTGCGATCTTGTAATAAAACGGTACAGTAATATATAACTTCTATAGATCCTAAAGGCAATGCGGCTTCAGAAAAAAAATTTTGGCTACAGTACCAAATAAGTCGGATCTATATTCAGTATGCAGCAATTGGCAAAATTTATGGAATGAAAGAGTGTTGTGAGGGGCAGTTATTAGATTGCATTGCACGTTAGAGTGCGGGTTCACACGCGAAGAGAGGAGTGAATTTTCTCTTATTAACTGCTACTTCCTCCCGTGAACAAAGAATTCGCTTCACTTTCCTTCTGTGCAACCGCTGAAAAATGAGTATTTGATGACTTGCAAGAATAGAGAAAACTCGGTGTTTTGGTGTGGTGACGTCCTTGCTTGCGAGACCTGCGACCGTGCTGCCTACTGCATGCACATCATGGCTGCAGTTCGCTTTGACCTACCTGATGGCTGTCTAAAAGTCAGCATAACGTATAAACGTTAATTTAAAATTTAAATTACTTCACGGAGAGCCTATTAACTATATATGCTGTAGCCATAAATGGGGATAATTGATTAAATGAAAACTATATGACCATACAAAAATTCCAATAAATAAAAGAATTTCCTGTTACTTCTTTGGATTCACATAGCGTAGTCGCGCCATCCCAGACTGTCGTTTAGCATCTGCAGTGCATGAACACAAAATCGCATGATTTT